AAGTTTGCAGAATGTATTCGTTTCATTTAGATTAGTCATCAATCGTTCACCTTTCGATGTATGGACCTTGTTTAGGAGGCATACTTTGCACTGTAATTGAGAATATGACTGACTGTAATTTAAATATTTCCATACGACTGTAGTATCATTTGAATATAATATATCACTCAAAAAGAATATACCTTTTTCTAAAAGTAGATATTATACAATACCATACCAATGACAACAAAATTGGTACAAATAATAACATCCTATATTTTTAAAGCCCTTATTAAGACGTAAGAGTTGTAAGGATTTGCATAAGTACAGTGAGTCGTAAACTTTTTCATGAACATTGTACTGCATCACTTTTCGCTTTTTGTGCCAGTACAGACAGTGTCGTTCTTTTTACTAGAACGTATACAGGATTTGTGTCATGAATTTATACACCAAATGCCTTCATGATATTTTCAAATTTTTATTCAATGTTTAATCCATAATTAGTATTAAGGAAACGCAAATTCAATTGATTAAACAATATAACGAGTTTTACGGAACGGTAGAAACTTTAAAATAACTAATTGAACATTTATTTATCCTTAAATTGTACATGTCTTTATATATGTTATATACATTTTACGTAACGGATATCAACTGATAACAGAATGAACTTTCAGAGGCTTTTGTAATAGTTTTACACTGAGGGATAGGTGTGTCTGGATAAGAAACCCCGACGGCCGGAGGCCGGTGGGGTTTCTTATCCAGACACGCCGTATCCCGAAGTGTATAACTAACTTACACCCGATACTAAATAATTTAATTTGTTAACATTGAATATCAAATGAAAAAGAACGGATAGCATTTTGATTGACAATATCAAACCATAGCTAATAAGAAAAGGCATATTTTTTTAGATGAAACCCCACTAGTAACCTTACTTTGACGATCTTCATTCAAACTTTGACAAGTGAGTAGAGATTACAAATGTCAAAGTTGCCGTTTTGCATATTCCCGTTAAATGCATGTGCTTATATGGACCAACAGGTCAAGGTTGGCAGTATCGTGCATTCTTATTACAAAAAAAAATACACCATGCTCCTTGTATGCAGTTGTTAATATGGACGGGGTATAAGACGGACGACATTTTGATTCAGACGTTGGATTTGGCAGAAGAGACTGAAGAAAAAGCAATATTTATTACCCAAAGAACTTGCATGTATCAGTTTAATGAAGGTAATCATAAATGTATTTTACATGCTACGGTTTTATCAAAAAAAAGCCCCTCCTCCTTCTCAACATTAAACAAACATTCATATTCGAACATACTGAGGGATAGGTGTGTCTGGATTAGAAATCCGACGACCGGACACATACAAAAATATAGATTGCATATGTAAGACCCCCCCCCCCCCACCACCTTTTTTGGGGCCATCCATGGGAAAGGGGTTCCGGGGGTTGGAACCTTCATTTTTTTGACGATGAATGTTTCTGAATGAGGACATATGGTGGTGGAACCCCCCTTTTAACCTGGGTTGCAACCCCCTTTTTAAAAATGGCTGGATCCGCCCCTGGACAAAAGTTTTTGCATGTATGTTCTTTAAGACATACCCATATGGGATCAAAATTTTAGCGTCAAGCTAAGGAGTAATTAAATGATTTTTTTTTTAAATTCAAAATAGATGCTAAATATTTTTTTCGCCATTGGAATTTCCTGAAATATGTTTTTATTTTTTAATATGTCTTGAAACAACTTGTAGTGAACACTATTAGTAATCTCTTCTGTTCATGCTATTAAAAACAATTTCTATTGTTATGAATAACAATGGAATGTGTTTTCGGGATGTAGAAGCAGGGGTTTCCAGAAACCCCGCTCGTCACACCCTGTGGACAAAATCCATTGTTATTCGTAACAATAGATCTATTCAATTTACACTTGTTTCAGAAATAGAAACTATGAAGTATAACAATAGAACTAGGGTGTAAATCTTACTTAAAACATTGTTTAACTTGTCAAAGAAGGTGAAAAAAAACCAAACAAATACAAACTTTCGTTAAGATTTATTTTCATCAAGTGTGTAAATTATTTTGGATAAACTTATTAATATTATCCTATATGTTGACCCCTTTCAACAGTAGCTCAATCTAATTAGTTGAAGGTAAACTACCGTTATAGTTACATGGAGACCCAGTGAATGTGCATTATGCTTTTGTGTGCTTTAGGACCACGTTATATATTTTCCGTGAATACCTTCATATGGATTTGGTGTCTCAAAATAGATAAAGACAACGATGAAAGTATATTCTTAATGTTAACTTCTTTTCGAAAAGAAGATAGCGATGTCGAATATGGCGATTGTGTTGCTTTCAAACTTTGGATTACAATGAAATCTGTATTCAGATATATTCGAATTAGTGCGGACAACGATGAGGATTTAGTTGCAGCAGCTAATAATGGCAAGTTTTATATATTTTCTAATATGTAGTCCTTTCCTATAATTTCCTTATTACTTTTTCGCTTTTATTTTTAAGCCAAAAATTAAAAACACATGAAGCTTGAAGCTTGAAGCCAGGTTCACATTTCCGTAAAAGGTTCAACCATATCAAGTGCATCGCAGTCGATTTTATTTCAAATACAATACACAAGAATATAAGGAATGAGCACAAATGAAGAGATCACAAGCGTGCAAGCAAATTAGTTCTTTTGTTGTTCTCCTGAATTTCCCCCTCTTATATCATCTTATATTATGATCCAAATATTATATCTTTTAAACGTAAAAATGACATAATATAATTATAACATCGCCATGAAACATCCGGAGATGGAGAAATTGATCAGACGTATTCACCTACTATACTTGAACAAAAATATGTTCAAAATTTTCCTGTATGACAAAGGCCCCTGCAAAAGACAGTTATTGTTTACCCCAAACCGGACCACCTGAATATCCCATCCTTTTTCTGCAAGGTTCGTGTCGCTCTTTTTTTAGTTTATTTGCATTGTTCTGTGCTTTGTAGTTTTTTTCATGTTACCGATATACTTGTGTCCCTTGATTTCCTTTTCCAAATGACGATTTCCTTTTTCTTTCAAAACAAGCATTGTAAGTGAAAACATCTTTGTTTCTGTGTTAATGCATAGTCATTGTATTCACTACATTTTACTTTGAGATCTAAACTAAAGTAAAGTGTTTTAAACTGTAAATATACAAATTAACACATAGGAAAGAAACAAATGTAATTCGTATTTTGACATTATATATAGTAAAAATACCTTTATAAATAAATTCCCCTTTTTTCAAGCAATTTAATGAAAGAAAGGCTTTTATGTTCAAATTTGTATTACACATTTTTATTTTTTTTTATTTTTGGCTTTGAACTAGTAGTCAGTAACTGCGAGTACTCTCAGATCTGTACTTTGTGTTTTTTTTTTGTATTAAGGGATGTATGAATATCCTGCCAAATCCAGTCTGTGTTTTAGTTAGATATTTTTTCTGCTTTGTATCAATATGATGAGTAAAATCTTTTTCAACAATTTTTTTATAGTTTTTATACGCCCATTTACGGGACGTATTATGGTATACCGTTGTCCGTTCTTCCGTCTGACCGTCTGTCCGTCCGTCGTCAACATGTCGGACAAGAACTCAAAAACGCTTTTAACAATTTGCATGAAACTTAGGTGAATTGTTTATATTTATTGACATGAGCTCTTATCGATTTTTATGAATTTAAGATTTAACGTTTCCGAGTTATGGGGTTTTATTCATTAAAAAAAATGGGAATTTTCGAGTTTTCGAACAATAACTGAAAAAATACTTTCAGCAGTTTTCATGAAACTTTGATGGATTGTTTCTATCTATTTACGTAAGCTTTCTTTGGATTTTTATAAATTTTAGATTTTACGTTTCCGAGTTATGGGATTTATTCATAAAAAAGGGGTGATTTTCCAGTTTTCTGACCATATCTTTAAAGAGCTTTGAGCAGTTTTCATGAAACTTTAGTGTCTGGTATATATCTATTAAGATAACCTCCTTTTATTTTTTTATGAATGTCTGATATGACATTGAGAATTTATTGAACTTTATACTCTTTGAAAAAGCGATGGGCGTATCATGCGCTCATGGCGAAGCTGTTTATTTCTCATGTTTTAACATACGCCACAAGTTAGGGAGAGGGTTGGCACTGCAAACATGAGTAACAACGCCACATTCTATATATGCCTGTCCCAAGTCAGGAGCCTGTAGGTCAATGGTTGTCGTTGGATCATGGCTGTTATATTCGTTTTTCGTAAATTGATTTTTTTATGAATTAGGTCGTTAGTTTTCTAGGTGAAATTGTTTCACATTTTTCATGTGGGATCCTTTTATAACCTGCTATATAGTATTTGGTTTTTTCAATGCTGAAAGCCATACGGTAGACCTGTTAGTCAAATTCGTTTTGTTTAAATATACTTTTTCACTTTTTTAGTCTTTTGGAAAATGTTGTTTGAGCTGTATTTAGACCCCTCTACCAAGAAATTTGTTGTGCATGCACACGTATAAAAATTGCGGTTTTTATCCAACGCAATCATAGGTTTGAACGTTGTTTTCAATTTAGACTTATTTATATTTTTTCGTTTGGGCTTGTATTATATTTGCCTTCTGGTTTATATGATCCGTTCATCCTATTTCGACTCTTCAAAATTCAAGAGTCTATCCTAAATTGAGGTAAATTATATGGCCTTCCAAATACCGTGTCGATTCCTAACATCACTGAAGAGACATAAATTGTCGAAATCCGGATATGGTGTACAAATTTTTGCACCTCATGTTTGCGGTATACCATCTTTTCCGCAAGTTTATTGTTTTCTGTTTGGTATTAAATTAATAATAAAGATCCATTTTGTTACATCTTGTGATCTGTTTATTTGGCAATCGCCAATGGCAGTCAGCAGGGTTTAAGAACATCCGTTGTTCGACCTGTTAGTCAAATGCGTTTTGTTTAAATATACTTTTTACTTTTTTGATCTTTTATATATATATATATACCTTAAACCAGGAGTCTAACAAGTCTTTTGAGTTATGTAGTTCTGCGTGTTCATCACAAAAATATTCGTCGTCAGACTCCAACTTTGTCATTTCCATCATTCCATCTGGATTGTCGTAGCTTCCATTACTGCACTTCATTTTCACAGTGTACGGTACATTCATCTTGTATCTCCCTTTTATTCCAGTAATGGTGGCTTCTGCATGTTCCCAGATACTTTTGAATGACATCTGGGAAAGTTTACCCCATTTCCAGATCTGAAAGAGGATCACGTGCTTGCTAACACAAACTGCCAGTTTTGTTCGACCCGATGAATCGAGATTGAAGACTCCCATTCCGCGGTAAAGTGCTAATTTACATCCCTTTTTTGATGGTTCTCGACTTATCTGATAACGGCGCATATAGTTTACAAGGACATGGTTAAAGAAGGCAGGAGGAAGAAAATCAAATTTCATACATATCCAAGATGTCCTGTTAAAATCCTTTCCATCTACTTTGAAACTGTCGACTATATTGCTAATGGGCTTTGATTTAATCAAACATGGCACATAATAATGTTCTGTTGGTATTTTTGATTTTTTAATTTCGCCATTTCCTTCTGGTGATGATACAGATTCTTCCTCAGGTATGTCTGGTTTGACAATTATATCAAACTTTTCCATGATTTGGAGAATGTGACGTCGGTATTTAATAAAATCTGTCCCCTCTCCCTCTCCTGTAAATGCCTGTGTGATCAGATCTTCTGTCAGTCTACCTGTTGTTTCTAACTCTTTCCAGTCGGAGTTGTAAACAATGTTTCTTCGGATCTGGAACTTCCTCGCTGACACAAGACATTTCAACACGTCAACTAACCACTGTGGTTGCAAAATAACTAGATCCGGAATGTCTTCAAAGTAAATGAGATTTCCTATATCATGTTGATATTTAAGAAACAAATTCATTTCATTCTTGTCTTTGATGTCAAGTCCAACCGATTTTCCTAACGATTTCATGTCCTCATATGCCATGACTCTATCGTGGTTTTCTCTGTGTTGATCCAGGACTTGTTCATACTTAATCCAACGAGTAGGAAGTTGTTGTCCCCATGTTTCAACTTTTGAAGCTAGTTGTACAATGCGGTGTCGCAGGACGTCAAAATCGGATTCAGAGGAAGTAGTGTTTGACAGCATGATAAAATCTTTTATGTGCTTTCGTTTCGGATGATCCCCTAGTATTTGGTCAAACTGTTTCTGAATTTCCCATTTCCTTGTTTCCTTATCAATCTACAAATAGATTAATAATGACAAAACCAACTTAAAGAATAGCAATCACTATGATTAATTTCTTTAAAATTGATAGACATGATAACAAATTAATAGAGTAAAAATAAAAAAGTAAACAACAAAAAAGGCATATGAATTATTTTTATTGCTCATATTTAACACCCGATTACGAATAGTCGTATAATTTCATTTTGATGAAATTCAAAGGCAAAACCTAGATCCAATCTTTTCTATGATAATCACTGCATAAAACAATGATATCCCATGAAATGGCAATCGTTCCTTTCTTCTGCTAATGTATTTCTAACGTGGTGTATTGTATAATAATCCAGCGAAAATCGATGGGCAACTCATTAAGTCTTAAATAAACTGTTGACAAATTGATATGTCTCGCCTTATGTTATTTCGATAGTAAAATGCAATTGTGGATATCTAAATGGCAATACTTCAACTTGTTATAACATTCAACATCAATGAACCATGACTGAAAGTGCAAGACCACACAATATCTGTGGCAGTGATGTATGCAAATGTAAGTACAACTACCTAACGTATATCATTGACTTATTATACGTGGTACCCCTTAAAATGAATTTATTATATAACAAAAAATCTAGTATAATCATTTTATGGTACTTGGAACACATAACAACCACCTTTCATATCAATATGGTCTAACAATGTCATATTTAATTTTATTTTGTTCAAACTTAAGTTATATACAAGAGCAAAGAAGATACCTCTAATTTGTCACAACATGTCCCAACGACAATAATTGAGGGAAGCGCTTCTTTTGTGTCGTCGATTTCCTGTACGTCATCACCATAACAATGGATAGCATCCATCCAAAAGTTTATGTATTCTGTAAAAAAAAAACCCATGGTAGATAATTACAATATGAAAACATCAAGCTTACGATACAAAAATGACTAACACTTAATTAGTTTTTGAAAGTTCAACATGTTCAAAGTAAACACTTATTTGAATTCAATATGGGACAGAAATAACACATTCTTTAATACTGCGATCTTATTAAAACATAGTACAAATCTGTAAGCCGCGGTCCCTATGGACGTTACTAACAAAGTTAGCTGTGAAAATATTCCATGATGACATAACTTATCACGATGATAGATGTTAAACTGGTGATATTACAATATACTGGATTTAATAGGATGCTGGCCATGGGTGTAAAGATGTTCAACGCCAATGGTGAAAAACAAAGACAGAAATAAAAACAAAAAGGAAATTACCCAGAAAGGAATGAAGATCGGCAGATAGTAATGCATGGTCAATTCCAAAAGAAATACGGAAGAGTAAATGATATAGTCCCCTGGTGTATAAAAGAAATAGATGAATTAATCAAAACGCAATGATCAACATTAAATCCCTTAGATCTTATAATATAAACGGTTCCAAATTTACTTGGCCGGATGCTTATTTTGACAAGTAATGTATCCTAAATGATTTTTGTTATGCCTTAATATGTTGAAAAATAATATCCAATGAAGAGCTTATAAAATAAAAAAGGATATGTATGAAGTTTATATGATCTGACTATCCAGCATATAAATCGATGTGATATCGTATATTCTTAGTATACACTTTAAATCTCAATGCATTTCTTCAAATTATGTTTGACATTTTATTAAAAAAGGTAACAGTAAGGGAAACGCAACGTAAAAAAAAGTTTTGTTGCAAGACATACATCAAATTTATATTTTTCTCCATGGATGTGATAAAATTGCCTTCTGTAGATAGATTAAAGAAGATGTGGTATGAGTGCCAATGAGACAACTCTCCATCCAAGTCACAATTTGTAAAAATGTAAACCATTATAGATCAAAGTACGGTCTTTAAAACGGAGCCTTGGCTCACACCGAACAGCAAGCTATAAAGGGCCCCAAAATGACGAGTGTAAAACCATTCAAACAGGAAAAACAACGGTCTAATCTATAAAAAAAAACGAGAAACGAGAAACATTTATGAACCACTTCAAAAAACGACAACCACTGAACAACAGGTTCCTGACTTAGGTCAGGTGCAAACAAATGCAGCGGGTTTAAATGTTTTGACAGGCGCAAACCGTCACCTTAACCTGAAATAATTGTATAAGATCACAACATAGAAAGACACACTATTAAATATCAATTGAAATGGCCTAACTCAATCAAAAGACATGTTAACAAATAAAAGTAAACATACACTGAACGAATAATTCTGATCTATGACACAATTTAGGTTCGCATGTAGCCAAACGTTTTTTAAACTGTACGCACAGAAATCATTTAAGCCAACTTCTGCTTTCGATTGATGATGAACAGCAATAATTGACAACTACAGAACATCTCTTGAAGAAACCATAAAACAAGATATTGCTCAATAATTATAACCGCGTAAAGGTATGACTAAGGGAAACTTGACAAACATACATATATATGGGTGACATAATAAAGATATAAGTTTTAGGCAAAGAGGAAGTTAATCACGGTATTAGGTATAGATGGTCACACCAACGGGCAGAGGTAAAACAGTATATCAACTTCATTTAAAGCCGGGTATATACAGACAGTTATTATCATAGGTTTACGGGGATTTTTATTAAATGCTGATAAAGATTTACCTCCAATGTCTTCAAATGGAATCTCGCTCAAATTCGGGAGGTTCTCGTCTACATCTTCAGATGTCATCAATCCTTTTATGTTCTTACTAACATCAATAACCAACAAATAAATTGCATGTTTATTTAAAAAGGTTTGGTGAGTTGCGTAGAATTCGTATTGACCAGCAAAATCTAAAAGTGCCACTTCAGCAAAGTCGTCTAATGACGCTTCAGATTCGGACCAACCTTTCAGGTCAGCAAATAAATCAACCTCTTTTACCTCAGCAGGGTCTACAACATTATCTTGCAGGTCAGAGTCCCTTTTTTCTGTGTCTTCATGTTTTTTTCTATCTTCATTCTCAGTCATCTCTACCTCTGGAGATATTTTAGTAATTTGATCTCTTTGATCATTGGAATTGGTGATCTTATCTTCTTTTACTGATACATAATGGTCTGGTATATGTGTCAGCTTTGATTTTGTATTTGAGTTTTTGTTTCCTTTCGGAGGAGGGATCATTAGGTTCTTTATTAATCTTGATTTTCTTCCTTGGTTTGCATCAAAACGAATATCTATAAAAGGTAATCAACTTTATTTAGCGTATTAGAGAGTTAGGAAAAGAATGATTACTGTTAAATTACAATGACATTCAGTTTGTTAATTTCCGAACATTTATGGAAAAAAGTAAAATAACAAAAACAGACTTGGAGGAAAGTTCAAAACGGAAAGTCCCTTGTCAAATGGCAAAATCAAAAGCTCAAACACATCAAACGAACAGAACATAACTGTCATATTCCTGACATGGTACAGGCATTTCCTTGTTTAGAAAATGGTGAATAAAACCTAGTTTTATAGCTAGTTAACCTTTCACTTGTATTTAAGTCGCATAAAAAAACTCCATTATATTGACAACAATGTAGGAATCAAACAACATAATAAGTAAAAATGTTATGGGAAAGCTCATCAAACATAACAGGTTTAAAACTAAATATGTCAGACTCGGGTTTCGTCTGCATACGACTCATCAGTGGCGCTCGAATCAAAACAGTTTCAAGACAAACTCAATTTCTAAATTATAGAGCATTGCAAACCAATATTGTAAAATGACGTGAAAAATCGGGCTGATGCAATTTATGACTAGGATAGATGATATTTTATTTGTTTTGGATAATTTAAACGTTTAATTAACAGTCAATTTACCGAAAAATGCCTTATTAATTATATCTTTATGCTAGCACAAGAACGCTAACTACTAGGCTGATGATCTCCACATGGACGCAACGTCTAGCAGCAGGGGCTTTGGCCCTTTGAAGATATCAGGCTTACAATGTTATAAAACAGACGCGCTTGTCGTCTACAATAATTGCACTTGCAAATCAGACTTCGAAATTGAATATATTGATATATATAATAAATTCATATAAAAGTATACACGTTTTGTTTTCAAATAAAAGTGAATATAGAAATAAAAAAGACATATTCCGACCAAAAAAATCCCTAGGCCAATTCGGATATTATTATATACATTGCGAGATATAGAAATTCTAGTTAAGAATGTAGCCGAAATAACATACTGTGAAGTGTAGTGAACAATTACATCAGGTAAATTGCTTACCTTGGGAAAAAATCCAAGTATCATCTGTTAAACATACTTTACATTTTTGAGTCATGATGTCTATACCATTCGTGCTTGTTACATCTGATATTTTTTTTCTCAATAATTTTCTGGTTAGACACGTTTTTCCAACACCAAATGGTCCCACGACCGGTAAACGTATCATATATCTATTTTCAACACCACTTTGTAGAACTTCTCTGTACTGTTTTTCTGCTGCTTTTCCCATCTTCCAAATAGTCAATGGTATTTGATCTGTGATATATACGCAGCATTAGCAATTGGATATGTGAACGTTTTCCAAAATTGTTTGTAAATGTCTAAAAAAAGGATACGGTAACGACATAACTATTGAAAAAGCTAAGTACAACTAATGGAATTGTTAATTCTATTCACTTAAAATAAGATTTAAAAAGGTTTATACTATTCTGTTTAAAATGGATAGGCACTAGACTATTTGATTTTCCTTGACTTGTTCATGGAAGCGAGTTTAAATGTGAGCTAGGTTAAATATATATTCATTTATGGTATCATTCTCTTTGCTATAATGGAGTATGTAGTCAATTAAGAAAACGAATCGATTTAGAAAGTTGCTTGTACTTTAATAGAAATAGAAAATATACAATAAAGAAATAAATGTTGGGCAAAGCAAAGCACCAACCTACATAAATGCATCTATCTACTAGAAATTTCCCACTTTATCTATAATTTGTTACTCTGTCTATATCTATATATCTATTATAAAGGATGACATCTTTGTTTACCAGATAAGAGACATTAATAAAGATAGAACTGAACACTTTTTGGGGGAAAATACCTAATTTTCAAAAATCCCATATCTAAATATTTATAAATAAGTCTATGAATTAAGTAAATTTCTTTGAAATATTTTTAACATCACAGTGACATCACAATCACATTTTTGCACTAAGTGGCCAGGCTAAATCATCATAAATTGAATAATTCTAAATGGATTCTAGAATTACGCTTTTGTTTTGTTATTTCAAGACACGTATCATGTATGCTTTCTCCTTTATAAAACAATACCTATTGCTTCACAAAAAATAAATTAGCCCAAGAAGAGACAACTCCTTATAATCCTCAATATGATGATCATATTACCATCGTCTGTCAGCCGTTACTGAATTAGAATTTGTTTGCCTTACATTATTTGTGGGCTTTTGGTCTTTTAAATAACTAGCAACGAGTGTCTTGATAAGACTGTTTAAGCATATGTATCATTACAAATGTTTTCTTAGCTTAACATTCTGAAGCATTTAATGAAGTTCAACGGACTATTATCATTAGCATAACTACCATTATTAATATAGAATACTGAGTTTTAATCCAATTAACTTAGCTATGACGATCTTGCTTTTTTGGAAGTACATTGGCCTTCCAGCATTTAAGAGAACCTCATTTAGTAATACTTTCTAGATAGTAATCTCGAATGATCTTTCCTTGTAACCCTTTGATCTAGTATAGTTTGCTGATTGATGAAGTCACTCATGTAAGACACATTACAATCATTCGATTTAAAGTTTTCTGTTCAAACATTTAGTCGGAATCGATAATTATCCCTTAAAAAACATTAAAAATCACCACTTACAAGTAATGCATGACTATGCTGTTTATATGCAAATGAGCAAAAGAACCGTTGCCCTATCAGAGAAGAGGCAGAAGATCTGAAAGGGATATTCAAACTCATAAATCGAAAACAAACTGACAATCTGTAAAACTCAACATAGAAAAATGAAGACTAGGCGACACGAGCCCCACCAAAAAAAAAAAAAAAAGAGGTGTTCTCAGTAGCTCCGTAAGAGTTAGGCAGACTCTTGCAACATGTTACACCCTTTATGTTACTTCTATAAAATAGGTTAATGGGTTATATCAAGTGATTAGGCATGTAGCAATAACGGATTGGTAATTGACTTTTATCTTACCGTAAGACATCACCAAATTCGTAAACCATCGGTCATGCAAATTTTCGAAGGAAAAGGATTGTACAGATCTATTTGTTTGAGCAGATTGAAATTGTAACAGACCAAGTTGTAAATAGTGACACTTCTTTTTGTTTTTTTGTTTCAAAATGAAAATGTTAAAATGAAATAACTCAAGTAACATGATAAATTCCATATAAACAATGTGAATACTAGTAATCAAAGCATTTTTAATTCAGTACAACAAAATGAGATGTTGCTTTCCAATGAGACAAAAATCCACTAAAGACTTTTAAATTAAAATAGGAACAATTAGGGGTCACCGTACGACATCAACAATTAGCTACTAACCCAACACGTATATCATGCTATATCTAGGCAACAGTAATTACATGGATAATAACGTCGTCATATCGAGGAGCGTTTCGTACAGTTATTTTGTACTGATTTGGTCCAGTCGGTCATGGTTTGGTTAGGGCACTCCTCCGAACGATTGCCTTAGTTCTCTTCAAATAAGCATGGACAAAGTAAATAAGATGTTTGATTTATTGTTTTACATCATTCTTTCAACATCTAAATTGTGGTTGTTGAAAATTAATGCACGTAAAGCATGATATTGAAAATTGACATGGTTTGGTTAAGATATTGACATGATTTGGTTATGTGTTCCAAATTTTGTCATGGTATTGATCTCATTGTTATGGTGTAAATAAAAACTGATATATATTAGCTTCACGAAAACATTGATAGTGTGTTCGAATGCGTCGTTAATAAAACCCCAAGTACACAATGTACCAAATGGCTAATAAAAAAGAAGCCTTTTTTCTAACCAATTAAATGGGTTTAATTGGTGAACCCTACATGAAAAATCTTAATGATAGTTCTTATCCAAAGACACATACTAGCTATGCATAATATAATTGATACAGGCCTTGTGCAGAACTCGTTTGTGCTGCCATTTGAAGGAACTCTTTTTCGGCTTAAATAATCTCCGAATGATATTTACAAATGATATCATGGGTGTATAGATGAGCGAGATTAGTAGTCAAACGGTATTGCCCGATAAGTTTTTGTTTTACCTGGAATCCTATGAGAAATATCTCCATCGAGACCTCGGTATGGTTTGTTGAAAACAAACCAAAGCGCGACTAGATGCAGTATTTTTGATAAATTTAACGGTCACAGTCCGTACCCATCGTCATATAAGTTTCTAGTGGCAAATAAGTCCCTTCTGTTTTGTTTCTTTTTTTTATTTGATTTTGTTTTTTTTTTTTTTTTTTTTTTTTTGGATGGAGGTCATTCGAAAAATGAATCAAATAAATCTGTATATCAAACCAGCTAGGCGAGAGAAAACAAAATACACACACGAATATAAAAAAATACACACAAAACTAAACACGGCAGACAGCTTTATGCCATTATTACGATGGATCATTTTTGTGTGTGTGTTTTTATTTATATATGCATACGTTTTCTTTTGAAATTAGAAAAGGGTTGAGAACAAAAATAGTTACGACTGAGTCTACTATTCCCCATTAAAAATATACAATTTCATGAATTTCTATAGATTTTCTGAATTTGAGCAAAAGAGTAATGTGCGGTTGAATTTTTACTACACTGCAACTAGACGACAAAACCAACAAAAAGACTTCTAGAAGTCAATAGTCTTCAACAATGGACACATACAATCTATACAATATGTCAAGACCTAAATCTACCCATGTTCAGTTTATTAGATCTATGTAGAATTAGGCATATAAATAGTATCTATATATAGAGATCTTAGGAGTCCTTTTTTATTCAAGGTTTATTCGTTTTGGAAGACCTTTTGGTAAAGAAGACAGACTTGCTTTGTTTGATATAGCAGCATTTAATCCATGTCAAAATCAAAGGCTCTGCAATTTTTCATTTCAGTTCTGATATCCAAGACCTCTCGTGAAGCTTACATTTTTCGGTGTAATGATAGGAATCCGATATGCCAAAATATTTGGTTATGTCGGTAAACGACAGAGCTGAGACTCCCGACGGACAGCATCTAAAAGTAACATGAATAAATGCTTTGTTCTTTTAAACCGTCATTTGCTAAATAACAGTATTTGACGAAGGTTTCTTCTGAACGAACTTCTATGAATATCTAATATCTCCTTGGCATATCAAAGTTTGTATAGTTATCATAATATGATATATGATGTGATGATGCTGTGATACGTAACTAATCTTGCCGTTGTTTTCCCCGATTGAACTACATTGTATTTTACAGTTTGTCATGTCGGAAACTTTGATAGTTACTAAATTGTATTGGTTTTGAAAATTCGACCCCGTAACTTGTATCTGGTGGATAGTTGTATCATTGTCAATCATATCAACTTATCTTATTTTAATAGTGTCATCTTGGTAGGTTGTTTTGTTTGTTTAACCGAAAGATACATTTTCAACTTATAATATTGACAACAGAAATCCAGTCTGAAATGCAAATTTGTAATATATCTATATGGAATTTTATTTGATAGACTTTGACATTTTCCAAGTGAAAACCATATCATTGAATCTGTTATCCTTGTCGTCATATTATACATGTATTTTCAATAACGCTGTTGGCTAAAATTAATTAAATTATTGTATCATGTTTGTTTATTTATTCATTTATCTAACTAGTTATATTTCATATGTATGATATACATGAATGAATTACAGAGCTGAACCATGTCGAACATGGGCCATGACATTACTTAAGCAAACCATGACACAGAATTTTCATAATTATAAAAATATTTGCAAAAACAGCGATATTTTTCAGAATATTTAAAAACAAGTGTAAATCGAGAAAAGCGCTTCGGAAGCATGAAATTTATAAGTGTTGTTTTCATATTTTACAGCATTGGGTCGATACCTCTACTGGTGGACTATTAGTCCCCGAGGGTATCATCAGCTCAGTAGTCAGAACTTTGGTACTGACATGATTTATAATAAACCTTTTTACAATTGTCCGTCTATAAATTTTAAAGTGTAGCTTTTCTTATAAAGTCAAAAACCCAAAATAGACCAAAAGTAGAGATTTTGTCAAATTTAGGCATAGGAAACATAGAACGCAGGATTTTATAACTAAATATTCACATCAGATATGTAAGATGTCACAATAAACAATTTTTAAAAAAAGTTCTCATTGACGCATGCGCCCTATATTTCCAGTCCAATATACCAATGGAAATAACCTGTTTTCTTTAATTTTCGTGAAAATAAATATGTGTGCTATTTGTGACGCCATGAAAGAACGTTAATACGTAAATTTTCTAAAAATTGTATAGTTCCTACTTAGTTGCTGTTTTAAGTATGACTACATTAATTTCAGCTAGAAATAGGTGTCAATAGGGGCCATTTAAGGCCTCATCGAGCCTTCTTTTTTGTTACACAACTTTAAAATGTTCAGGTCTTACCATCTTCTGCAAATTGAAACTTTGTAAGATTTAATCTAAATTGTTCAAAATCGATAATTTCTTTATCCTTCAAATGTTCCTTTATTTCTACAAAAGAATAAAACAAAATATGTAATGTATACTTTTGACCAATAAATGATGTCAAGCACAGTTTAATAATTGAAGGAAAATGTATGATTGATGAAGTAATTATTCTGTAACTATTTACAAATATATCACTTTAACAAAAAATACCATTTTAACAAATAGTATCATTTACATCATTTAATATTGTTATGGAAAGATCAAAATATTTTCCATTGCATATTTTACAACCCTTTTTATTAAAATTTGAATAAATCATTCACAAAAAAAAAACTACCTTCAACACACATTTTTATAAAAGTAACTTATTTTTAGGACTTGAGCATGTGCACAAAAAACGGAAAATGTTTGTTTTCGAATGAAAATGCATAAACAGAAAGTCACATTTCGTTTTTGTTGGTAGACACCAGCAAATGAGAAGATGAGTCACTCCAATTTTTTCTCCCAAGAGCTGGAAGTTTTGAAGAGTGTGAGGTTTATTGTGTTTGATTAATCATCTATTCAAAGTTCTATTAGACAGCATTTGAATGGGTTCGGTATTCGAATCATATATAATTTGTGAAATAATCTTTCCACGGTAACTATTTTTGTGCTTTTGTGGCTACCTCATTAATGAAAAATTTACAGCAAAATATGACACCTTATTGTGGTAAGGAAGTATAAAAAAAAAGATATAATATTTTCATACTCAGGCAATATGTTGTATATATTATGATATGTTTAATAATATAATAAACATGGTAGGTCATCGAGCTTGATTTCAAGCTGCAGGTAATGTAAAAAATGACACATTTTGTATGGAGCATACTGAGGAAACGCATCATAATGTGATTAGAAGATAAACTAAATCATAGAATTTTGAAATATAATTTGAGAAGATAGCTCTCATAAAATTCGTTCATAATATCGAAAAAAAAAATTGTGTCACCGAACGTTTTTTTCTTATCTAACATAAAATAGACAAATTTCCTTTATAAATTATACTTTTTCTGTGTTAACTCCACTAAATACATTTTGTACAATGATCACATTAATGAAAATCCTTATTGGTAAGTTGCATTCCTGTATTGAAATTTGCTGACCACATAACTTTTGATTTTTTAACCCTGTATACCAACATTCCCCATGTGAAATTATTAAATTGTTTTGAATAAACATTGAACGACAAAATTTCTTCTTATGTGACGTTTACATTTTCTGACGTCAGACACGCGAAGCAATGAATGTGGTTTTTAATTTGATAGATGCTTTTGTGCTTTTTTGTAAATGATTGTTTGTTTTGATATTGTAACACAGTGATGACTGCTGTACCCATATTTTGACTATTTTATTTATCATGTCTGTTTTGTTCACGCATCGTTGTAAACATAATGGAATTTGATGAGACTGTCGTACAAGTGAGAGGTTTAGCGCTATAAAACCAGGTTCAATCCTCCATTTTCTACATAGGAAATGCCTGTACCAAGTCAGGAATATGACAGTTGTAATCCCTTCGTTTGATGTGTTTGAGCTCTTGACTTTGCCACTTGATTAGGATTTATATCTAGAAATTGACTATGAGGGTCGGTTGAAAACAAAACTTTACGACAAAAGAGATGATTTCAGCTTCCCAATAGTGAAGCATTGGGAAGCTGAAATCATCACTTCGTAAATTTTACGGACGCCATCACAAGTTGGTTGACCGTTATGGAATATCTGTTATATAGATGATATTAGATATGTTCCTTATGTCGTAACTGCAATCCCGTTCCCTTTTCCCGAATGTGACTTACCGAATTAGACTTCTTACCATTATTTGTGACATTTTTACCTATTGTGTCTGTTTGTTTTGTTCACGCATCATTATCAATATTATTAAATTTGATGCAACTGTCGTACAAGTGAGAGGTTTAGCGCTATAAAACCAGGTTCAATCCACCATTTTCTACATTTGAAAATGCCTGTACCAAGTCAGGAATATGACAGTTGTTGTCCATTCGTTTGATGTGTTTTGTCATTTGATTTTGCCATTTGATTAGGGACTTTCCGATTGAATTTTCCTCGGAGTTCAGTATTTTTGTGATTTTACTTTTTTATTCATGAGCTATGTATACGTTTAGGGAAATTATCCTTATACCCGTTATCGGTTCTTTTCTTTACGCAATTTGCACTGATGAAGTCGAAATGAGTGAACTGTGATGGACCTGGTGGTGAAATATATGTTTGTTTTTTACTATTTTGGATGAATATTTGGATTTATTATTAAACATGATTTTGGAAATTTGGATACTGATAAAAAAAAAGGTAAGTTACTATATTATGAAAAGTTGTTTCCTTTGCACATTTTGGCTTATCTTTTTATTTGAAGGTATCAATATCATGTTGTTTGTTTTTAATTTAAGAATTCGCGACCAGTCAGATGCATTATTATTCCTAGTAAACCAATTTTCATCTGAAACGGTCATTTCGATCTGAACAGCTCTAAAAAGACTTAACATTAAATTATTCAATCATTATCAGTCTTTCAGTAAATTTCATTTAACCACTGCGGTAAATTCAGTACTGTTCAGACAACTCGCTTGCAGATAATTAAGATCTGCTCAGACTACTTTTAGATTATTCAGTATTTATATGATTTACCTGTACACATCAACATCAAACTGAATTGTCAGAAAAGCTAAAAACAGTTCTGAACTGACTGCAATTGTCTGAACACAACTGAATTGACCGCAGTGGATCAGTCTGAAAATTTACTGAAATACCTGAACATGACTAAATATACTATTGTTCAGAGTTTTCAGATGAAATTAAGATCAAAGAGATCATTTAAGGCTAAAATTCATGTACTAGTGTATAAAGGAGGAGGTAAGAGCAATGTTTTACCCTTTAATTGCTAAAACTGTAGACTTTCAAAATTATGTTAACTTTATTGATAAATAAACAAGTTGCTTCATTCTGGAAACTTTAGTGCGAAAGGTCACTTATGGTGTCTCCATGACGTCATAAACATGTTGAACTCAACGTATTTGACATCAAAGGGATATTTCAAGAACATTTTATAGACCAAATATATGTTAAGGAGCTTGACCCAAGAAAACATTTTTCACACATAAACATCTTTGTGAAATAAAATTTGTATCCACATATCTTTTGGCTAAATCTCTTGCTTATATCTAAATAATAATGACAAGATCTCAAAATAAGGCTATTTTGGCAGTTTATATTTTTTGTATTTAATATAATTATTTGAAGCACTAATGCAAATGTGTAAGACAAAATTCCAAAATATACACACTGATGAAAAAAGACATTAGCAAACTTCGGCATTCAAATGGTGCAAATAAAATTACCAAACTTTTACATAACACACATAAGAAAAATTATCATTAAGAATGTATTCTTCTGATGTTTCAGTCTCGTTGAAATCTCGTTCGTGTTTATTTCTAAAACATGTGATACAAGTGGAAAATATTTATGAATTTAAATAATATTATAATCAAACTTAACCCTGTGAAAAAAATGCGTACTTACAATAAGCAGTTATTGAGAAATAAAATGTTCAAATTTTATAACCAATCCGGTCAGTGTCATCAGCCAAAATGTTGTGAAAATGGGCGAGGAGTACAAAAAAAATGATTTTACCAAAAATATGTACATCCCATATGAAATTTTTCCGTTAAAATTCTTAGATATGTTTTTTTTGCAATCATTTATAACAAAGAAGTTGAAATAATATGCTTTTTGTTCTAAAAAAAAAGAGAAAAATTCCAAATTTGCAAAATTGACAGCATGGTCAATTTGACATGAAAAAGCAACAAAATTTTATAAAACTTTTTTAATATTAACACCAACCTATAGTTTCTTTAAGTTAAATTTATTCAGATTGGTCCACTTCATCTTTTGTGAAAGTATGAAAAAAAGTTTATCATGTTTTTATTTTCATGATAATAGCCCAAAAAACGGGAAAATCATTAAACATGGGGTACTTTCAAATGGCCGTAGCAAAAAATGAAGAGCACCACCATATGATTTTTTCTTCATCAATTACTTTCTTACAGGCATATAAACCCAAAAATCAGGTCAAGAAAAAAATTTTAATTCTAGAACTTTTTTACTCCTCAGAGGTGTACATCCTTAAAGGTCATTAAGATTCTTTGACTAACACAAAAGAACATTTTTCAAAATTACACATCTATAGAATGATTTCATTGGTTACACAAACATGTTAGTGTAAATGTTTTGTAGGAACTAATTTAAGAACATATCTCGTTTATGTATTAAGTGAATAATCATATTTGGTAATATCTTTTAGTATATTTTTGCAAGCAATCTACAATACCTTGTATGTTGAATTTTTCTGAATCACGTATAATCAATTCCAACAGGTCTCTCCTCAGACTTTTATTGACTTTACTAAGACATTTGTATAGTATCTTTGAAGGATCTGCCATCGATTTTTCCACTGTTTCTGTCCAATACCTCAGGACTTGCCAAAATGGATTGATCACTCGTGTATGTTTTGCTAGTTTTAAGGTATTTTTATTATATCCAATGTTGACAGCAAATGCTACCCAATCCTTTTTAATTGCAGGAAGAATCTTTTCTACAACAAATGGCCGCAAAATGTGTCTTGCTGAAAACAAAATGTAGCCTTTATTGAACGATAATACGAATCTCCTCATTGAATAATAAATCATCACCACTAACAGAAGCGTGCAAGTTGTATGAAGTAAAAAGATGCATAGATTAAATAATCTAGAAATTATTTCTTGCATTCGCTACTGACAAGCGAAAATCCAAACTACATTATACCCTTGAACTTTGGAAGCAGTAAGTTAATCAGTAGTAAATAACTGAAAACCTGGTTTGCTCTTGTAACACACATACAAATTGTCTCCGATTACGGTAGAAAGTAGATAGATTTTCAGCATAAATAATTTTGTTATGAAATTAAATGTCGTAAATGTTTTAAAAAAAAAGGTCATCATAAATGCCGGTATATTTTGGTATACCACATGCGAATTTCGTTTACATAAGACTCATTCGTGATGCTAGAGTCAAAAGTTATTTTTGTTAACAACATAGCTATAAAAAAAAAACCTTTAAAGTTTTTCTGCAAATTATTTGCAATGTCCAGTGATTGCTTAATATCCGTAAACTTTATAATTGTAAGAATACAAATGACACTATATATTGCAATGATTGCATCTCTTACTTAATGTTTCTTTCAATTTTCACAAAAACATTTCGATATATACAATTGCATAAATATATATGTAACATTTGTGCAGCAATACTGCAATGTGTTATATACTATTTTTAATACTATTATGTTAGACTTAACGTCCATTCGCCATTCCCTCGCCAAATAGGCAAACAGAAAATTGACCTATAGGAATTTCTAAATATTTTAATGCATTAGACTTATAGTTCATTTAATAATTATGTGTTATTTGTTTTCTTATTGTATTTTCCTAATAGCTATCACGATTTATGACAAATGGAACCCATCTGAAAACAGGCAACTTATTGCTTCACTAATTACTAAAAAGACAAACAATACATCAAGATAAAGACAAAAAGGCGAAGTTCCTTCTAAAAGAGTTGCCTTTTGTTTAATAATAATATCATTTCTTATGTAATATAAGGATAAATAATATAATCTCTTTATGTAATATGTTTTGCTTTTCAAACTGAATACCTCTGGGTTTTTCTATGGAGTCATTGTTGTTCAGTGTTTATTTTTCTGTTAAGTGGTTTGTAGACTGTTTTTTGTCTTTTCGTCGTTTTCTCTTTAGACTTTTGTATTGTTGTTTTTATTCGACTAACTATTTTTGAATGTCCCCGATTGTCCCATTTTAATTATAATGGTAATGACAGCATACACATTTTTTTTAAAATTTAACATATTATGATAATTTACTTTATTTTTTCGAAATACATGTACTACTGTAACAATATAGTTTTCAGAATGAATTTTTATTGTGTATGAACAATACAGTATTGTATAAAAACATAAATAAAAATGTTTTGGGTGACATTTGTATGTGGGATATTAAGTTGCATATGGAGAACATATATCGCAGTTGATACGATATTCCAGAGCTTGTATATCCTATCATGATTTCCTTGATAAAGGGTTGCTGCTTACAATGAACCAAGAGTTCCAAGTGGTGAAGTTGAAATCATTCTACGAAAATTTTACAAACGCCATCACGAGTTGGTTGACCGTTATGGAATATCTTTTTCACAAATAAAGACGATATTTTTCAATTGTTATAACCACAATCCCGTCCTATTTTCCGCAAATGTGACCTACCGAATTAGATATATCACCGGATTTGTACAAATATGAGCAAAACGACGGATGGCAAATGTGAAGCAGGATCTGCTTTCCCTTCCGGAGCACCTGAGATCAGACCCAGTTTTTTGGTGGAGTTCGTGTTTTAATTTTCTGTGTTGTGTTATGTGTACTGTTGTTTGTCTTTTCGTCGTTTTTCGTTTGCCATGGCATTGTCGATTTATTTTCGACTTATGAGTTTGAATGTCGCTTTGGTATCTTTCGCCTCTCTTTGTAGAATGTCATGAATTTGCAAATTTAATATTCAAAATATATCCTTATCCAAATCCATTGGTGTTCCGGATCTATGAATTTTGCGATTATATCAGAGCAATTTCTCATAATGGCTTTCAATTTTAAGTATATATATATATATATATATATAGATTGCCTAACAATGTAATTTTAACACACTATTTAGTATGTAAATATAAGAATGTTTAAAATATTTACAAAATGATGAAAATAAACGCAATATTTCGCTAGACTAACTAGCTTTATCAAGCGTGCATCTATCCAGGTGAAATCGGATGTAGATGATAAGAAACTTTTGCAGCTCAATGTATATGTTGCACTTGAATTTAGCTGCCTTGAAAATAATACATAATTTGGATGAAGTTCAAGATTTCTACAAAATTGGTAGTTGAAGTTAGCAACGTCCATTGGCCAATATTACAGGATAAAAAGGACGATGCTGTGTACTAAATTATTCTTTATCTTTCCTGTATCTTTTCTCATCTTTTTCGTTAAGACCATCGGGTTCTAAAGTGTGGAGTTGGTGGATCCAAAAATTTTCTCTTCTCCTTCTCGCCGTGGTGTCCCACTCGGTGTTGACTTCTATGATTTGGAAGGTAACATTATCAAAAGAATGTTTCGTTGAACGAAGATGTCTTGTGAGAGGACAGTTTTTGTTGGTTTTGTACCATGAACGATGGTTATTGAGCCGAATATTAAATTTGTCCATTGTTTCTCCCACATACTGAATGCCACATGTGTCACATGTTAATATATAAATTGAGTTCTCCGTTTTACAGTTGGAATTTGAGTAGATGGTATAATTTTGTTTAGTAACGGAGCTGATGAAAGAACTGCTTGTATTGGCAGCTTTACAACACAAGCAGTTCCTTCGACCACCATTTTGTACCATCGTTCATGGTACAAAACCAACAAAAACTGTCCTCTCACAAGACATCTTCGTTCAACGAAACATTCTTTTGATAATGTTACCTTCCAAATCATAGAAGTCAACACCGAGTGGGACACCACGGCGAGAAGGAGAAGAGAAAATTTTTGGATCCACCAACTCCACACTTTAGAACCCGATGGTCTTAACGAAAAAGATGAGAAAAGATACAGGAAAGATAAAGAATAATTTAGTACACAGCATCGTCCTTTTTATCCTGTAATATTGGCCAATGGACGTTGCTAACTTCAACTACCAATTTTGTAGAAATCTTGAACTTCATCCAAATTATGTATTATTTTCAAGGCAGCTAAATTCAAGTGCAACATATACATTGAGCTGCAAAAGTTTCTTATCATCTACATCCGATTTCACCTGGATAGATGCACGCTTGATAAAGCTAGTTAGTCTAGCGAAATATTGCGTTTATTTTCATCATTTTGTAAATATTTTAAACATTCTTATATTTACATACTAAATAGTGTGTTAAAATTACATTGTTAGGCAATCTATAATTTTATTTGTGTAATTGAATTAATCTCTGTACTGATTAATCCACACTCCCATAGATTTGTATGTCATGTGCTGCTATTTATAGGCACTTATATATATATATATATATATATATATATGTACAAGTGCTTAAAACATTTAGAATAAAGTTCCTAGACTCTCTTGCATCATCGGCGTCTTTTACAACATATGCTTATTATATTTTCAAGCCACGAGGCTTGTACACATTTTTTAATTGGTCAGGCATGTTGTATTTGTAAAGTACGAGTTCATTAAGTGTTGTACTGTGCAGTACATCATTCTATGGTAGCTAATGCATGCTAATTACGGAAAGGTTTTGTAGCTTGCATAATATTGGGTTTCCCTTGTTCCTTTTTTCATATGAGGTTGATTTCATACAGAGGCTAATTTCATCCTTTTTAGTCACGTTCTGCTACACAGATAACGTTTCTCACTAAAAAGTTCAAAGTGATTAGTATGTTAAACGCATCTCGGCTCTTCAAATTTTATTTTATTTCGCATTCCATCTGGATTCTTGGGCCACTGATGAGTCTTATATAGACGAAACGAGCGTCTTGTGTACCAAATTAAAAGCCTGGTATCTCTGATTATCTTTTTTCCTATTTGATCGAACTTGACTGAAAGGAAACATAATTATACAGTTAAAGGTGCTTCATATCTTTGATTATATTAAGAAAATGACAATGAGTGTCGGTTGAGAGCTAAATTTTACGCCAAAATATATGATTACAGCTTTCTTATTGTAAACTGTTCATTTCTATGTAGCAACATTCCAGCAAGGCTTGGTATAGTGTATATATATCCAAGTTTGTAAGATTTTGCGTCATCCATCATGATGTTCTTGATAGAGAGAATTTGAATATAATGAAGATTTTAAACAACGAGTTCCAAATGGTTGAAGTCATCCCCTCGAAGTTTTACGGACGTGATCATTATTTGTTTGACCGTTACGTGAGATACAATTCTGTCCATTTCTCATTGATTTTGAAATCATTTGAACATCAACGAATTTGTACGAAGTTAACTCTTAACTGATGATTATTGTCAATTTAGCTTTTCTTTATGATGTTTTGTTGGCAGTCTTTTGTCTTTTCATCATTTTTCGTTTTTTCGTTTCGTGGTATTCGACTTTTAAAAAACCCTTGGTCTTTTTTTTTTGTTGCAGAAAAAATATGAATAGAAATAGCAACTATTCAGTAAGCAAATCGTGAAAACATTTTAAACGTGTCATACCGTTTTCCAGTACATTTATCTTTAAAACTAAGGGAATGTTGTTTTTCCCATATTTAAAGGCCACACCAGCTGCTGCCTAAAATAATAATTGTCTAAATAGATGTATTAGAGTATAATTATGAACTTTCATCTTTTAATTCTATTTTATTATTTTGAAATAAATTACAATTATTTTTTTAAAACTAAGTTTGAAATATCAAATGCTGATTTTGAACTCAACTGTTTTCAAACAAATGCCATTTAAAGAAAACTGAAAATTGTCAGTGTCTCATTAATTCACAAAGATACACCAAACAGCGAAGCAATACATAAGACTTTTTTTGCATTGTGTAACTCTTTATTCTGCTATAGTCAATTCGTCATATACAGTTCTGATAACTACATTACAAACATCTTTATTAAGGATTTGCTTGTGATTGGTAGACAGCTATCCCGTATATTTTCTAATAAAAAAAAACAACACAATATCCAAACCGGCACGTTCTATCCATAACAACTTTACACATATGCAGAGGATTATTTAAACTAAACAAACGAAAAACTTGATTTAACGTGGATTTTCTGTTTTAAGTTTTAAAATGTAATGGGAAAAATTAAATGCTTCTTTTTGTTGTTTTTTTTTTTATGTGTAGGTATGGTAATACCGCCAAAAATATTCTCTTATTATTCTTTGTACATTCAAACATTTCAAAACAATTATTACAACTTATACTTTATTTTAAGTAAAGTCATTCATTTTATAAAAAAAATCCACCCCCTTCTGGTACCCCCGTAAAAAATTAACGTGTCATTATTGATAAGCTAATTACCTTACTCTTAAATAGCTTCAACGCAGTTTTGTACTTTTTATTGGAGCAAAGAGGCAAAAATAGTCGGTCTACTTCAAGTGTCATAAATTGTTTATCAATCAAATTAATATAACAAGAATAATGTCTTTTTTATGTCTTAAATGTCATCTTTTAACATCGAGCAATTTGTTTTGCAATGAAACGAATCATATATCTTAAACAACATTTCAAGTGTATTTTTTATATACTTTTTGACATACAATCACTATAGCTAGTGAGGTCATTGTTTTGTCTGCATTACTCCTACAGGGTTTTTAAAGCGTTGATCGTGTTCATTTGTTTTGTATGATGCACTTTCCGGTTTCAAACGAACTATGCGTCAGTGAACGCTTTTATTCTCTAAATTCTCTACAAAACTACAAAAGAAGCAATTCATTCTTAAATGTCATGGTAAGATCTCATTATACAAATGAGAGGAGATGATACTAATAAATTAAAAAAGACTGCAACCAAACGACAAAAATAACAAAAAGACTCACAGAGGGTAATTAGAAAACAATCTTCAAAACAAATGACATGTTTCTTCACAATATTTCAAAAGCTCTAAATCTAAGAATGTCGTACAGATGACAGCGGATATGTTCCTAATGTCGTAACTTCAATCCCGTCCCCTTTTCCCGAATGTGACCTACCGAATTACACATATTACCGGGTTTGTACTTACATGAGTAACACGACGGGTGCCACATGTGGAGCAGGAGCTGCTTACCCTTCCGGAGCACCTAAAATCACACCTAGTTTTTGGTGGGGTACGTGTTGCTCAGTCTTTAGTTTTCTATGTTGTGTAATGTGTACTATTGTTTTCCTGTTTGTCTTTTTCTTTTTTAGCCATGGCGTTGTCAGTTTATTTTCGACTTATGAGTTTCAATGTCCCTCTGGTATATTTCGCTTCTCTCTGACAAGACGTTTGATATAAATAAATAAAAAAAAATCCTGCAGCTGACACTTACTTTGTAATTTTTTATTCTTATACTCACAGCTGCAAACAAACATGCTTCTACCCCATCTCCTGTTATAGCAGAAGTTTCAAAGTATTCAAAGTTATATTTTTTGCAAAGAGCTGTTATATCTTGTTGTTTTACTGGTACAGTCCCTTTTGTGTCCTCACAAGTTGTGTCATAAAGCAAATCTGACAAAAGAGAAATGAGAGAAAAAAAAATACGAGACTAATACATATCATATTGAAATTCATCTCAAAACAATTTCCCTTTTCTCTGATTTCTCTAATCGGAGTTTCGGCAAGTCCTCTTATATCCCTAATGATAACATTAGCATTATCCATTATTATTTAAGTTATTTAAAGTAAGTTACTGGAAAAAAGGAAAGCATAAAAAAATAAAGGTACAATTATTGACTATATACATGATATAAATATGCTAACTACACATGTAAGGGATGTTTAAACGTAAACAAATAATCGTTTATAAGAATTGTACGCAAACAGGTTTCGAAAATAACGTAGCAGAAAAAAAGACATACACCAGTCCGCAGATGATAAATACTGGGGCATCTGATGGTATATTCTTCACTAAAGTTGGAATAGGGGACTATGATTGTGCCCCTCTCAATTTGTTAGTCATAAATTTGTACACATTGTTGAAACAAATAGACAGTCGTGTATCGCCTGCTGTCTCAAAATAATATAAACAAACATAAATAAGTATATACGTATGATAACTAAAAAATTCAGTCACATAAAGCATATAAATAGAGTTCAAAATTGGAAGCCCCATAGAAGAATTTGAGCTAGCCATTTTCAAGGTGCTGCGATTTAACCAAATATGACCCGCATGATGACCTAAGACGACATCTGTTACTGCGATGAACACAATTGAATTATTTGGATATAATGTCCCCCGAATACAAGCCTAAATTATACATCATTTGAAAGACGAAAAATTGAACTATAACAATGTGCCTGCCGTTAGATTAAAAAATGGTCACGATATTTTGAAATAAGGTTTGAGGTCTACCTTACAAATCTTTAAAAAGTTTGATTGATTAAAATTTTTTTTACTTTTCTTTATTTTGTGTGATATCACACTTATACAATGTTGGCTTTTGCAATGGTAGATTTTCTTATAACAACTAATCCCAGAAATTTGTTGAACAAAATTCTCAAAACGACGTAATTGCAGAACTAAAACATATCAAGTTTTCAACCATATTATATCGAAATGACCTTGAACTTATCAATTAAATCACTAACATTTCCGGTAAAAAAATCATTTGTTATGAAAGACAATATTACACAATTATTTTTCAACCATCATTGTGTGCGATATAATAGACCATCAGCCATTACACAGTAAGGTTGAATAGATGGGAAATCAATTCCCGTGTTAAACTTAAATTACAAATGTGTACTACTGTGGACAACAAGAATAAAGTTTTTGTCTACATTTTACAGAAAAACGCAATAATTTACAACAATTTGAAATTGTAAAATTTTAAAGGCAGATGCCAATGAAAACCCGAATTGAAATTCCTAAAAAAAATTGTTATTCATGTTATTGCAAGAACTTAATTCCATAACCGGAATTAACATTCTTATTTGTAAAGTTTTGTTGGTTATAGAACCCATTAATTTAGATACGATCCATGTTAACTAGTCGATCCTTTGATTTAACTTATTCATAAGGGTTATCAATTTAACGATGTATTTAAATCTTTAAATATTGCTTTTATCGGTACTTATATTGACTTTGTTTTTTGGAAATTTAAAACAAAACTAAATATATATTGCTATATATGTAGAGTTATGATAACTGATTATCCTTCATCCTGTCGATACTGTTTACTTATATTTTGGCATTGCACAAGGTCATGTGTTTCTCAAACTGTTAATGACGTCTTTACACTAAATCCGTCAGATGTGTACTGATTGATACTAAAGTCTGGGATAACATAATTTATTTATAAGTTGTAATTGGCTTTTGACTAGCTTTCAGTAACTGAAAGTACTCTAATATCGGTGTTTTGTGTCTATTATTTATTTTTTTTATGTTAGTTGGTTTATTTGTCCTTCCTACCGATTTACTGAGTTAAGTCATTTGCAACTGATTTCTTTACAGTTTGTTTTCATTTTGTGCTGTTACAACACTGTCTCAGGTTAGAGTAGGTTTGGGCGCTCAAAAATATATTCAACCCTGCCACATTCCTTATGTGCCTGTCGCACGCTAAGAGGCTGAAATTAGGTTGTTGGCGTTGGTGTATGTCTGTCATATTTGGTTTTCTGAAATTGTTTTGCTATAAATAAGCCCATTATTTTTCTCGTTTGAATTGTTTTACTTTTTTGTTTGTCGTGGCCTTTTGTAGTCGATTATATAGTATCGAGTCTTTTCATTGTTGAAAGCCATACGATGGCCTATAAATTCTTATATCCACTTCATTTGAACTCTGGGGGTCAGTTGCCTAATCCTTATTTTTATAAGCAATACAAAAGTTAAAAAAAAAATTTACTATTCGGTAAAAAAAATCTCTCTTGAAAATGTAACCGTACGAATGACAGAGTGAAAATTAAAGAGCACATACATATGTTTGATATAAGACAAGTTGTAGCCATTTGTTATATGGGAAGATCAAACTGAAAAGCTAGACGACTTCTTGCCGCATTGCCATCGCTTTATAAGTGTTGATGTTTTTGAGAAAAAAAACCAATAGGAAATGGAATATTTTCGTACTTTTAGTCTAAATATATGATTTTTTATTAATTGATATTGGCTTTGAACTGGTCTTTGGTAGCTGTGAGTAATCTCAGTTCTGTACGTAGTTGTTGCTTCTTGCTGTTACTTATATTTTTTTTTATTGTTTTGTATAGTTTGTTCATGTATTGTACCGTTGCACCATTGTCCCAGGTCAGGGGGAGGGTTTGGCACTTCAAACAGGTTTAACTCAGCCACATTCTGTATGTGCATGTCCCAAGTCAGGAGCCAGTAGTTCAGTAGTTGTCGTTAGTTCATGTCTGTCATATTTGTTTTTCGTTTATTGTTTTGTTATTAATTAGGAAGTTCGTTTTCTCAATTGAATTGAATCATATTTTTCATGTCGGGGCTTTTAATGGCCGACTATACGGTATTCATTTTTCATTGTTTTTCTCATTGTTAAAAGTCGTATGGTTGCATATAATGGCTTACATCTACTTTATTTGAACTTTGTCGGATAGTTGTCTCATTGGCAATCATACCACATCTCTTTATTTTTATATTGCAAGTTCTTATCACTCTACCACTTTTGTTCATAAAGGCAAACAGAGGGAAAAAGAAAGAAATACATAACAATGACAGTACAGCGGGTTTTGGAAAATAATATGGAGACGTTAATATTCACAAAACACCAATACAAAAGCACATCGAATGATGGCTTCGATTTCATAAAGCAATCATTGCATATCATAGAAAAGCCGCATCCAAGATTTTTCGTAAAATTGGGTACAAAGGTATTGTTTTCGATTTTTGAAGTTGTCGGACGCGCAAATGAACCGCACATATAGAATTAACTACATGAATTTAGGTGAAATTTGCGGATTGATATTGAATGCTAAAGTTTGGATTTTTTTATAGTTGATATAGGGTGCTTTTGCAGTTGAAGTGATTTGGATTGGTGGTTAGCAGGTTAGCATATCAGCTGATTGGCCATATTTAAAGTTTCATTTTTATGTAGACTTTTATATACTATTGTTTAGTCCTTTTTCCGTTTTTTGCCATTATTTTGTCTGTCTCTCGTCGACTACTGAGGTTTTTTTTTTCATTTAGTATATAACGCCCGTGTTTTATCAGATATTCTGTCATGCATTGGATTGTTTTTATTATACTTAAATAGTACTATGAACTTTATTATAGAGGTATGGTCAATGATGATGGAGGTTATAATGATACTATATTCAAAAGTGGTCACTGCGCAATTCGGAGTCCAAACATCGTATTTGTTTCTTTGTATTTCGTACGAATTGTTTGGCATTGCCGTGTACATAAATGTATGAGAGCAATTATGTAGTTATTACACATTATGATTTCAAGAACAAATATCAGCAATTTAGCTCATAAATATTTTATATTTGTTGAAACAAAGTGTATTTAACATGAACAATTAACCACATAATGGTAATGAATGAACCACTACATTTCGATTTCGATTATTTACTGGGTTCTTTCATGCGATTTGTACTTTCAAATGACAAATTTGTGTTAAAACTGTACAATGTAAGCCATTTTGGGGAGAACAAATAGATTAATGCCGTCTTTCGTCCTCCAAATATCTTTGATTTATACTATTCATGCGTTTTAACTTCGCACATATCTATTAGTAATTATTACAAAAATCAAATGATTTGTTTTTTACTTCGGAATTCCAGGGCCACTTCTCACTAGAACATGTAAATGCATTTAAGTTCAAATGGTCTTTTGATATTAAAATTCCCTGAAGAGATTAGTTAAGGATTCAGTGATTTTTGAAAAATTGTCTTGCTTTGACATGTTTGAATCAAGAACTCTTCAGACATTTTGCATGCAGTTATTCCAGTAGTGTCGTTACCTGTCGCTATATGGAAGTAATGGGAGATAATAAAACTGCAATAATTATGACATTATCCTATTTACGTAAAGTTAGGTCGCATAACAGGTCGCTGACAAAGCGTCGTTTAGGAAGGTAATGTATGCGTGGATATCACATAAATTGTTAGTAAGCTACACATAGCCAACATTATGAAGACAATCACATAGGAAACAATAAAAGGAATAGTCGTAATTAGTCATTAGTTAACATAGGTACGCAATAAAATATTATTTTGCACTGTTGCTTAACACAGCCTTAACCTTTGTCAACATTCAAACGTATATCATAATATATATATATAGATATACATAAAAAAATTGATATGATTCATTTTACATCATAATCATACTGATGAAGGATATCTGTTATCGGAAATATTTATAGATAATTACATTTAATGTTTCCTTTTTTTTAATATTGGTGTTATTTTGTACATTTTTTAGGCGTTTATAGACATACATATATATATATGTGTGTGTGTGTGTGTGTGTGTGTGTGTGTGTGTGTGTGTGTGTGTGTGTGTGATTTTTGGGGGTGTTTTAAAACAAAAAATATACGTTGTGTTCTTAGAATTAA